TGCTGGCACTGCTTTCCCCTGGTTGCAGTGTGGATTATATGCTGGCACTGCTTTCCCCTGGTTGCAGTGTGGATGATGTGCTGTAACTGCTTTCCTCAGACTCCAATGGTTGTGATTGTGACTCTTTTGGATCTCCTTTTGTTTTCTTGCCGAAGAAAGCAGCCAAACTCATTTGCCTTTTCATCTTGGTAATATACTGCAAAAAAAAATTCAACAATGTAGTGGTTTGAACTCAATTGTTGTTGTAAGTTGAGTGGTGAAGGCAGTGGCCAGCGAAGAAAGCGAATGACAGTCTATAAAAAAGATGTTGTACTGTGTATATAAAACAATAGCTGATATTTTAATAATTGCAATTCATTAATTGAAAAAGAAACACTTAAAATGGAAATACTATTTATTAACAAACCAAAGGAGTTTGTTATTTTGTGCCAGTAGTGGCACAAAAATCTTTCCTAGTCAAGACTACTTACCTAGACCAAAAGTCCCTAATGGAATGCTCTCTCTATAGCAGAGAGAGAAAAGCTAGGGGAAGCCATGTTTGGCCACCTAACCTTTTTAGAATGCAGCTTTAAAATGTACTGAAGCTTTTTACAGCCTTATGCAGATATATATAGTACAAAAAAAAGATATAAGTACAAAATCATCTAAGAAGGTAGATTAAGAATGGAATTGATAGGCACATTCACAGAGCAATGACTGAATTCTTTTTCTGAAATTTATTCCTCAGTTTAAAAAAACTGAAATATTTGAATTAGGTTCAGTATTGGGCTCTGCTAGTACTCAAACAGCTATTCAAGAGGATGTAGTGTCAAGGTTAGTAAAAATGGTAAAGCAACATATAGATTTAAATTTTAAAACCAGAAATATTTTTGTTGGTACCCACATAAATAAAGGGAATACAATACATATTTAATTTTACATGTGTTAACAGCAGTTAGAATTATGTTTGCACAACAGTGGAAAAATGAAGAGATCCCTATAGATCAGGGGTGGGCAAACTTTTTGGCTCGGGGGCCGCATTGACTTTTAAAATTTGACAGACGGGCCGGGTCAGCACAAGATTTTTGGGGAATCGCCCCCCCTTTCTTCTCCTCCTTCCCCTCCCCTCGGAGGCCCCCTGAGTCAGGAGTTGCTACCGCCGGCGCGGCTCCGCGCGGCTCCAGTCCCGCGTTGCCTCGGGAAGGGAAAGGCAAAAAGGAAGAGCCGCGGCGGTGCTTTGCAACGGCAGCAGCGGCACTGGAGGGTCAGGCTCAGCGGCTCCTGGTTTTGCCTTTCCCTTCCCAAGGCAACGCGGGACTGGAGCCACGCGGAGCCGCGCCAGCGGTAGCAACTCCTGACAGCCCCAGCCGGACACCTGAGCGGAGCCCGGGCGGAACTGCCTGTTGCTGCTGCGGGCGCTGCTGCGGGCGTCTGGCTGCCCAAGTAAAGAACCACACCAGCTCAGGGCAACTGTGAGGAGCAAGAGGGGAGAGGCAGAGAAGGAGGCAGAGAAGGAGAAGGGGAAACCCAGAGCGCCTCCGGGTCGCCTCCTCCAAGCAGCCCGCCCGCCCGCCCACCGGGCTTCCCCTCCGCCGCACGGCTTGGGGCCAGGCGCGAGCGCCCGCGAGGAAAAAGGAAGCCACAAGTTGCTGGGAAGTTGCTCGGGTGCTGGGAGCAGGCTTTTAAAGTGCCGCCCGAGCAGGACCGCCAAGCCGGGAAACGGGGCACCAAGGCAGGGCAAGGCTCCACCAGCAGCGGCCTAGCTTTAGGTGGCTCCAAGCAGCCCGCTCCAAGTAGCCCGCCTGCCCGCTGGGCGGAACCCTTCCCACTCCTCGGCAGGAAGACGCTCCAGCCTGCAAACTTTGCCTTTGCAAAGTTTAAGCCTGGAAGCCCTGGAAAAAAAAGGGGGATCGGTGGGGACTCACCTTCGGAGAGGTCACACTCAAAGGTGATTTCGAACTCCCAGCCGAGGCCTTTGCAAACTTCTTCTTTTCTTTCCTACCCCGAGAGCGCTCCGCACTGTTTTGCAGCTTTGGGGGCCACGCGGCACAGGGCAATACGCCATGCCCAGCGATTTTTTTTCAGGGGCGGGCCGGATTGGACAGACCAACGGGCCGGATGTGGCCCGCGGGCCGTAGTTTGCCCACCCCTGCTATAGATGAAAATGAAATTAAAAAATTACAATGTGCAGAAATGGATAGAGATAAGAGATAGAAATTAGGCACAGAATGATCATTGCTATGTATGAATTAAATACAGAGGGTTGATAATTATAAACTTGTTGATATAATTAACAAAATTAGAAATAAGCCAATACAAAGAAATTTAAATATTTTTTGTTACACTACTGTTATTACATGTTGATACTTGGTTTTCCTTTGCTTTTTCCAAAATGATATATGACCTGCCTGACAATACTTATTCATAAAAACAAAACAGATACTAAAAAAATAAATAAACACAAATAAAAATTGTTTTACTATTATTGTTAGATGTTGATACTTCTTTTTGTTTCTCCTTTCCTTTTTGTTATTAGGAATATAAGTATCAATATGTAACAATAACAGCAGTGTAACAAAAAAATTCATTTTTGTATGTATTCATGTTTTCACTATCTACTGTTTTTATTATTAATAAAAACAAAACCTATACTAAAAATATTATTAAAAACTATACTAAAACTATTATTAAGATTATAATTATTATAATTTTTATTATTATTTTAAAATTATTATAATTTTAATAATATTTTAGTATAGGTTTTGTTTTTATTAATCATAAAAGCAGTAGATACTGAAAACATGAATACATACATAAATGATTTTTTTTGTTACACTATTGTTATTGTTACATATTGATACTTATGTTTCTGCTTTGCTTTTTCCTAATAGCAAAAAGCAAAGGAGAAAGAAACAGAAGTATCAACATCTAACAATAACAGTAAAATGTTTTTATTTATTTATTTATTTATTTTAGTATCTGTTTTGTTTTTATGATGAATAAAAACTAAAACAGATCCTAAAAAATAAAAAAAAAAGAAATAAAAAAATAAAAAAGCAAGTTACCAAAAATTAGGCAACTTGGCTAGCCAGATATGCTGGGGTCCTCCTCAATCTTCTTGGAGCTTGCTGCCACAAGGACAGCTGGGTGGCTGGCCTAGGAGTCGGCACTCAACCAGGACTAGTGGTGGCAGCGGCAGGAGAAGGTAGGCGACTGGCGGGGCTTGCTGCCTTTGCCTCCTCACTCACCTCACTCACCTCACCAATTGGTGGTGGAAGGCAAGGCAGAAACAACAGTGTAGTGGGCTGCGGGCGAGGGGAGATGACAGCAGGCAAGCAAAGATGGCGGCCAGCCAAAGATGGCAAGCAAAGACTGGGTGGCCCGGGAGTTGGCACTCAACTGGGGATGGCGGCGGTGGCGGCAGGAGGAGATAGGCGACCGCCTTACTGCCTTTGCCTCCTCACTCATCAATCGGTGATGGAAGGCAAGGCAGCAACAATGGAGGGCCGCGGGAAGACAGTGGCGGGCAAGGCAGGCAGTGTCGGCAAGGGCATCTGCAGTCCAGGAGTCATTGTCAGGACTCAACCGGGGCTGGCGGTGGCAGCAGGTAGGCGACTGGGTGTTGCTTGGAGGTCTCACTCACCAATCTGCATTTTCGGTAACAGAAGCCAGTCGGGGGAGGCAGTCCAGGCAAAGCAAGCCATCCAGGCAAGGCAGGAAGGCAGACCTGGGAGGCAGGCTGGGCAAGGCAGGCCTGGGAGGCAGGCCTGGGGAGGCAGGCGGGGCAAGGCAATCCGGTCGGGCGAGGGCAGCAGTCCAGCCAGGCTAGAGGGAGGTGGCGACCGGGGCTTGCCCTCACTCACCCAGGGCAGAAGAAGGCAAGCAGCAATGGCTGGCTGGCTAGCTGGCTGGCTCAGCTGCTGCTGCTGCTGCTGCTGGGAGCAATGGTGCCAGGCAGGAAAATGTAGGAAGCATAGCACATGAGCTATAAGTAGTGACTGGGCGGGGCGGAACAGGGCAGATGGGGGAGAATGCAGTCAGCTATTGTCACGCATGCGCGCGATGTCGTGAATGCGCAATAATGGCTGACTGGGCCGGGAACTGAGGAGCGGGCGGGGCGAGGCTGGCAGCAGGGGAGAATGCCATCCCCGATTGTTGTGTATGCATGCAATGTTGCACATGCACAATAATGAATGATTGGACCGGGAACGGAGGGGCGGGTGGGGGAGAATGCATCAGTGATTGTTGCGCATGCGCGCAAATGTCACACATGTGCAATAATGAAAAACTGTTCCGGGAGCGGGTGAGCAGGTGGAGAGGGGCGGGGCCAGCCAGGGGCCCATTTTACTGGTTCTCCAAACTACTGGGAACATTAACAAGCGGTGTGAACCGGTAGAATCCCACTCCTGCCCACGGACCATATCTAAACATCCAGAACTGGTCCGCGAGCCTTGAGTTTGACACTCCTGGTCTTGACTCTAGAAAAATAATGCAGTCTCTTGAAAGGCCATTGCAAAGAATAAAAGACTCTTATAGTCAGAGTTCCAAGTAGAACAGAATTTCTTTGTTCCAAATAAAAAGGTAGAAACAGTCTTGACTGATGACAAGTATCACAAGATGATATCTACCATCAGAAGTAGCAAAACACTCAAATTTGTCTTAACAGTTCTTTGTCAAGGTAGATTTGCAATATTTTTTCTCTTAAGCATAGGGAAATAAATAAGTAGCTGTTGTGAAACAACTATCTATTATTCACAGACAAAGATGAAACAAGTTTCTAGAGCACACCCTCACCTTTCAAAGGCACTTTTCAAGAGATGTCAAGAAGTTTAAATTGAAAATATACCAACTTGCAAGTAGAAATATTTCCCACTTTCTGGAACTCTTAGTATAAACTGTAATTAATTAGATAATACTGATTTAGATCAGAAACAGTTTGATTCATTATCAACAGAATCCTTTACTGGTAGGATAGTTTTTCTCTTATTAAAATAGTTGTCTGCTGCTCCATTTCTATGTGTTTCTGTAGTACTTCTTCAAACTTATAATTTTTGACAATATTTGTCCTCTAGTTCAGAAGGATTCAGAGTTATTCACCCTTGAAGAAACTGTAGATGGAATGCTGAAGGGGGATATTAGTGGAATTACTGACACTGAAATAACTAGCGCTGTCAGCATTTCTCATGAAAGGTCTGTAAAGATGAAAAAGATACATGTTCCAATTGAAGACCTTGATTCTTTGATGAAAGAAAAGTAAGTATAACATAAACAGCCAAATGAAAAAAAGACTCCAGCCACATTTAACATTGTCCTCAAGTTTGCCATTCTTCTAAAACAGTACTTTACATAAAGTCTCTGATTAATTGACTTCAATTAGTTTTAATTTTTGCAATCACAAGCTTTTCTGCAGGAGAATCTGTACCCAACCTAATCTTTCAGGTCTTCCAGTGGTGCATCTACAGTTGAGCCTATCTTCCTTATTGTTGCTGGTCCTCTTTCCTTCCACCCTTCCTAGCATTACAGCTTAGTCATAGAACTATGTCATTGGGACTCCAAAATATAATATAATTTAAAGCCTTTAGACAGCTATAAATCTTCAATTGCAACAAGATTTAATTCTTTCTAAGCATTAACCAAATATGGTAAAGAACATAGCTTAGAAATGTACGCAGAAAATGGAAAGGAAGTCAACAGTATAGGATTATGAGCCGTGGTGGTTAGAATGGGCATTGGTATAATTACCTGAGAATGCCCTTTCTATCTACGCTGCAGGAGTGTCCAGGAATGAGTTAAGCTCCTCCTTCCAACATCATAGAGCTGAGTCTGCCGCTATAAAAAGCCAGCCTCAGGCTGGCCCACCCATCTTTTAGGCAAGGATACTTGACAGACGTAATGTCTCTGGAAGATAAAGAAGAAATTAATTTCACCCCTCCCCAACCATCATAACCAGATGTATAGGGTGGGGCTGGACTCTCTTGCAGCATAGATAGAAAGGGCATTCTCAAGTAATTATACCAATGCCCATTCTCCTATATGCTGCTTCAAGAATCCAGGAATGGGACATACCAAAGCCTGCATGTCCATGGGAGGACCAACGTCTGGTCCAGTCACTCTGACTGAGGAACCACCTGTTGAAGCACCCTCTAACCAAACAATACTTGGGCTGAAACAAATGAATTCAGGCGATAAAGCCATATAAACGACGAAGTCGAAGCCCAAGTAGCCGCTCTGCAGCTCTCCAGTGACGCCTGAGTAGACCAGGTGGCCAAAGTAGCTGCACTCTTAGTGGAGTGGGCTGTGATATGTCTGGAAACTAGCATGGACAAAGTTTGCTATGCCTTGGATATACAAGCTCTAATCCACTTACCAATTGTCAATGCAGTCACCTTGTTCCCCAGGGTAGAGGGATGGAATGACACAAACATGGCTTCAGATTTTTGAAAGACCGCCATCCGTTTGATGTAAATCCGAAGGGCCCGCCTCACATCCAACATATGCTATCGGTGTTCCAATTCATGTTGTCGTCTGGGGCAAAAGTCTGGCAACACATCTTGCACCAGGTGAAACCACATGTTTATCTTAGGGATAAATGTGGGGTCTAACCTAAGAACTACCCTGTTCTGATAGAAAAGACACAGGTCCTGTCGCACCGAGAGTGCTGCTAATTTGGACACTCTCTTGACCAAGGTAATGGCCACTAAAAATGCTACCCTGAGGGACAGCATTTGTAGAGATACAGATCTGAGGGGCTCAAAAGGGGGCCTCGTTAGAGTTTGTAACACTTTAGGTAAATTCCAAGTGGGAAACCTATGTACAACAGGGGGTCGAAGGTTAGACCCCCTGCACACCGAAGGGTGATGGGACCAAGAAGCATATCTGTCCCAGGATAGAACAGGGGAAAGAGCCACTACCTGGCAGCGAAGCGTGTTGGGTCTAAGCCCTCTTGTAGGAACCTCTGCCACAGAAGCAGAAGAGGGGTCTCTGGCCAAAGGCATGCACCAGGAGCAGAATACTCTCCAAGTCGCATCATAGATGCATGTGGTAGACGGCTTTCGGGATGCTTGAATGGTGTCGATTACACTTTCAGGAAAGTTGGAAGCCCTCATAGAGTGCCGCTCAAGCGCCAAATGGTTAAGCTGAACCACTGGGGGTTCAGGTGAAGTAATGCCCCCTGATGCAGGGGAGATCTTGGATGCCAGGATCTTCCATGGCTGGGACACAGACAGGTTCACCAGATCTGCGAACCAGTGTCTCCTGGGCCACTGGGGCGCCAGGAGAATTAGCTCCGCCTTTACCTCCAACAACTTCCGAATTACAGCCAAAATAATGGGAAGAGGAAGAAAGGTGTAGAGGAGACCCGGAGGCCAGGCACTCCAAAGCGCATTGGTCCCCTCCACTCCCTGGGTCAGAAACCTGATGAAGAACCTGCCCAACTGGGCATTCTGGGGGGTGGCAAAGAGGCCTATGGTTGGAGGATCGAATCAGCATGACAAGTCCTGAAACAGAGAGAGGTGTAGACTCCACTCTGCCTCGTCTGCTGTGGACCAACTCAACCAGTTGACCTGGACATTGTCAACTCTCAATATATGGCCCACCCTGATTGAAAGGAGGTGTCTCTCTGCCCACCTCCCCAGGCACTCTGCCTCTCTCATCAAGGCCCTGGACCTGGTCCCCCCTTGCCTGTTGACATGGGCCTTTGCGGCCACATTGCCCGTCATGACTAACACATAGTGAAGCCACCCTGTTCCGTAAGTGTTTCAGGGCTAAGAAAATAGCCTTGAGTTCCAGCCAATTTATGGGGCATGTCCTTTCTGACTGTGACCAACACCCCTGGGCTATTTCCCCCTCTAGATGGCTCCCCAGCCGTGGAGAATGGCATCTGTGTTGAGCTGGATCCTGTCTGACTCCTTGAAGGGAAGACCCCTCTCTAGAGCCTGGGACTGCCACCATGTGAAGGAGCGAAGGACCTGAGAAGGAACCTGTACCTTTATGGTAGCATGGCTGGTTCCTGCCTGTGGAAAGGGGAGCAAGAACCATTGGAGTTCCCGGGCATGGAGACGGGCCCACGGAATGATCCCAATGCAGGAGATCATCTTTCCCAGGATCTGGGACAGTAGAGACAACGAGACAGTGCTCTGTCGCCGAATTTGACTGATGCCACTTTAAAGGCTCTCCCCTTGGTCCGGGGAGAGGAACACCGCGCAAAGTGACGTATCTATAATTGCCCTGAAGTGAAGCAACCTGGTCGTCAGGGAAAGGTGACTTTTGCTTAGGTTGATCAAGAACCTGTGGTCTCTGATCTGCAATGTGATGTGAAGGTTGCGATGGGCCGAATGGGTTGACTGTGATTGGATGAGTATGTCATCCAGGTAGCACTGGACCCTCACCAATATGGTGCGAAGTGAAGCTGCCAAAACTGCCAAGATTTTCATGAAGACCCTTGGGGCCGACGAGAGACCGAAGGGTAAAGCTGATAATGGAAATGATCATTCTGGTAACAAAAATGGAAAAACTAGCGATGATGAGGCCAGATAGGAATGTGGAGATAAGCCTCCGTGAGGTCTATGGAGGAGAGGAGCTCGCCCTCTAGAATGCTCTCAAGGATAGAATTCAAGGTCTGCATCTTAAAACGCCTGTATGGGATAAATTTGTTTAAGAATTTAAGGTCCAAGATGGCTCGCCACCTCCCCAGAGGCCTTTGGGATCACAAAGAGGCAAGAATAGAAGCCTTGCCCTCATTGATTCTCCGGAACCATTTGAACGGCTTGTATGTCAATGAGATGTTGGATTGCCGATTCTGTAAGGGCCCATTTAGAGTGGTCCCTGGAGGTGGGGCAGCGAATAAACTATCATGGAGGTGGGGAGAGAAACTCCAGTTGGAGGCCCGACTTCACTGTCTCAAGAACCCAGGTGTCCGATGTAGACTCCTCCCATTTGGAGGTGAAGAAAGCCAAATGGCCTCCGATGGGGGGGAGATGGGGCACCCATTTTGAGCATCTGAATCAACGACCTACTCCCCCTCAAAAGGGCCATTTACCGAGGGCCTGTTGCTGCCTGCTGGAAGCTTCAGGACACTGTTCTTGGTGAGCAGGAAAGGACCTCTGACGTCTAGAGAACCGAGAGCTGGTTTCGGGTCTGAAAAATGAGGGACAAAAGTATGGCCCGGGGCGATACTCAGACCTTTTCCCCACCGAAGAGAGGACCTTCCTCTTGTCCTTGGTCTCTGTCAAGTATGGTTCAAGAACATCACCAAATAGCTTATTGCCCATGCATGGAGCTGATGACAACTTCCATTTACCATGGGAATCAGATTGCCAGTTGCATAGCCAAAGTAGCCACCTGGCCACCACTGAAGAAGTCATGGCCCTGGAAGCGAACTTGGCCGAGCTCAGAGTGGCGTCTGCCATAAACTCCACCGCTGCAATTATCTTATTGAGATCTTGATGTGCTCTGAACTCAGTGGCCGGGAGCCTCTACTGAAGCTGGGGAAGCCAGTGCAGTGAAGATTTTGTAAAAAAATGAGGGTGCCGTTGATGCTCTAATCGCCCAAGTCGCTGCCTGATGAGTGCGCTTTAGGGTTTGCTCAGACCATTTGTCCTCTGCCTTGAGCACATCCTCTGGTTCAGTGGGAGTGCCTGAGGAAGAAACAATGCCACCAACGAGCATTCACCAAAGGTACCAGCAGGGCATTGGTCAGGAACGGGCCCACATTATAGAATCGTCTGTTGTGAGCAGACGGGCGAGGCCCTGCCCCTGGAGAGGTGTACTGTTCCTTCACTAGATCAAGGAAAATCAGTGGGGAGGATGTGGTAGCCTGTGGTTCTGGGGCCACCTCCTCAGAGCTTAGCTGTGCAGTAACCAAAGCCTTCTGTAACAGAGGCTTGAATAAGGAAGGCCTGAAAACCCCTGCTGAGGGAGGCTGATCAACTCTAAAGTCCTCTTCCTCAGACATATTGGGGTCTATGAGTTCTCCTTCCTCTTTCTCTTCCTCAGAATGAGTAGAGCGACTATGGTCAGAGGCCTCGGAATAGTCTACTTTTTTTTCCTCCCCCCACTCCAAATGGGAGGGCTGGAAACAGAACTGCTGTCTGGGAATACCCTTCTGAGAGTGGGGGACTCCTTGGGGAAAACCCTGATGTAACAAGAACATGCCTTCCCCTTGTGGGTGAAGGAATTGTTTAAATCCTTCTGCTAGACCCTGCCTTATGGTTACAGAGACCATTTCCCTAAGGTCCTCGGGACTATTCTCCTCAGGAGGTAAGCCCGCAGCTGTGGGGGTGTAGGTTGCTTCAGGCCTAAGCCTATACCCCCCTTGAATCCCCTGACCACTGAGGGAGGAAGGAAGGGCCAGACCCCCAGGTAGCCTGTCTAGAGGAAAGCCCTGATCTGCTTAGGTCCTGGGGAAACTGTTCTTCCTCCACTTTCTCTGGGGATCAAGCTAACAGGTGACTGTGAGCAGATTCCGGCCCCCCTTAAAAGAAACTTCAGGGCTAACATGCACCTCCCCAGAGTGAGAAGCATGTTGAATCTGGGCCTTTATCTGAGCCTTTTGCAAATTGTTCCTTAAGTGCTGCATTGCAGCAGCCTCTCTGTTAGCAGAAAGGCCTCTTTGTCTTTTCTTTTTCCTCAAAGGGGCTTGGGAGTGTTGGGAGTATTCCAGTCCTTTGGGGCCAGGTTGGGGGGCTTCCATCTCCATCTGGCTAGCAGAGCAGACGCCAAGAGTACTGTGAGCTTCCTTCATGTAGGTGCTGCCTGTTGCCTAAGCCAGGCGAGTCAGGAGACTGTGAGGCCTTGGGGAGGCACTTTCCCCCAAAACAAAATGGCCACCTGGCAATTCTAAAATGGCTACCTGGCAATTCTAAAATGGCTGCCCGGCAATTCTAAAATGGCCGCCCACCATGTGGGGTGGCCCTGGGATGACCTAGCCACCATCTTTGCTCCTTAGTCTCTTACCAGGCCCTGAGCGATCGAATTAAGCCGGAACAGCTGAGAAGCGGCAGGAATGAAGCTCCGGAGTCAGCTATAAAGCGGTTTGGCTGGTGGCGGCAACAACAAGGTTGCGATCAGTGGGGCTCCGTGGGAGGTTCCTCTAAACGTTCCCTGGGTCCACAGTCCTTGTGCAGCAGGGCCGAAGCCTTGGCACTGCAGGAGAGCGGATCCCCGCTCTCCTGGAGACAGAGCTCTACCGGATCCCCGGGAACTGGATTTTAAATGTATTGCTATCTCTTTGAGTTCAAACTTTTCCTTTAGCTGTTTAAAAGCACTTCTTCCAGAGACTATGCTGTCAGACAAGAAGCTGAGCCTTTAAAAGATGGGCAGGCCAGCCAGAGGCTAGCTTTTTATAGTGGCAGACCCAGCTCTATGATGTCAGAAGTAGGAGTTTAACCCATTCCTGGACTCTCAAAGCAACATAAGTACTGCAAGCTCTTTCTGCTGACTGCTGGCTGCAAGTTCAGCAGTTCAGTTCTCACCAGCTCAAGGTTGACCCAGCCTTCCATCCTTCCAAGTTAGATAAAATGAGGACCCAAATTGTTGGGTAAACCACTTAGAGCAGGCTGTAAAGCACTGTAAAGCAGTATATAAGTAGGTGCTATTGCTATTACTTATTGCAATGAAACTTATACTTATTGGATCGGGGGGGGGGGGTTGTTCCCAAAAAGTTATAAATTCAATTGCAGTATATTTTACTGAGGTATACATGTATTCTTTTTTAGAAAAATCAACAATGAACATCCATTTATTAAACAATCAAAGAAGCTTCAGAGGAACTTATATCTGATCACTGCATCAGCAGAAGCTGTGGAAACGACAACGTTTGGAGAATCTAACAAAGTGGAAAGCAGCATCTTTCATAAAGCCTACATCAAACTGAGCTTGGAGGTCTAATCTGAACAGTGAATTATCATGAAATTGAAGGAAAGAATATGCATTTCCTCTCACCAAGTTATTTTATCCCATATAGCTGATGCAAGATTTTATTTTGTCTTTTAGGGTGCCAGAGATAGGAAGAAAATAATCACTATTCCAAAGGGATGCATCTTGGCATTCAAAGCTAAGAAATTATTTATAGGAGAAGAAACTGTAGGTAAGGGGCTTTTTTTATCTGAGGCTTGTGTCAATGACTAGTTTTCTGGAAATGTTACTGTTCCAGCCAAGCTGAAAGTTTCAGTGATCTAACAGTTAGCTGATAACAGATAGAAGTGAGCTGGATAGATATTTGATATAATAAAGTGCAGTTCTCACGTTCATCCATTTTCTTAAAAAAGGCAGATGTTGGTACATTTGAGTTCAATCTTCTATTCAATGCAGCACAGCTGCCTATATCTCCTACTCCCAGTCTCTCCACTTTTCAACTGCTTTTATTGTTAAACTTTGTTTACATAATGCAATTGAAATCTTTCTTCTTACAATTTAAAGTCATCATTTTATTCCTGAATTCTGGAATGAATGAGAGCAATGTATGTTCTTCATAACATACAGGTAGTCCGTGATTTACAAACTACAATTGAGCCCAAAGTTTTCAGTGCTAAGCAAGACAGGTGTTAACTGAGTTTTGCCCTATTTTACAAACTTTCTGGCCACAGTTATTAAATGAATAACTGCAGTTGTTAAGTTAATAAAAACGTTGTTAAGTGAATCTGGCTTTCACATTAACTTTGCTTGTCAGAAGGTTGCAAAAGGTGATCACATAATCCCAGGATAATGCAGCCATCATAAATACATGCCAGTTGCCAAGTGTCTGAATTTTGATCATTTGACCATGAAAATAATATAATGGTCATGTGAAAAAGCAATGTCACTTTTTTCAAAGCCATTGCAACTTTGATAGGACACTAAAAGAATAGTTGAAAGTCGATGACTATCTATACAGGTATTTGAAGAGTGCTATCATACCCTTCCAAAAATAGAATCGAATAACAGTTGGAAGGGACCTTGGAGGTCTTCTAGTCCAACCCCCTGCCTAGGCATGAAACCCTACACCACTTCAGACAAATGATTATCCAACATCTTTTTAAAAACTTCCAGTGTTGGAGCATTCACAATTTCTGGAGGCAAGTTGTTCCATTGATTAATTATTCTAACTGTCAGGAAATTTCTCCTTAGTTCTAAGTTGCTTCTCTCCATGATTAGTTTCCACCCATTGCTTCTTGTCCTGCCCTCTGGTGCTTTGGAGAATAGCTTGACTCCTTCTTTGTGGCAGCCCCTGAGATATTGGAACACTGCTATCATGTCTCCCCTAATCCTTCTTTTCATTAAACTATACATTCTCAGTTCCTGAAACCCTTCTTCATATGTTTTAACCTCCAGTCTCTGCACTGTTTCTAGAGACTCAACATCATGGCGACCAAAACTGAATGCATTATTCCAAATGTGGCCTTACCAAGTGGTCTTAACATATCACATGATCTTGATTCTATCCCTCTGTTTATGCAGCCTAGGATTCTATTGGCTTTTTTGGCAGCTGCTGCACACTGCTGGCTCATATTTAAATGGTTGTCCACTAGGACTCCGAGATCCCTCTCACATTTACTACTATTGAGCAAGGTACCACATATATTGTACCTGTGCATTTGATTTTTCTTGCCTAAATATAGAACCTTACTTTTTCACCATTGAATTTCATTTCGTTAGATAGCGCCCAACATTCAAGTCTGTCAAGATCCTTCTGTATCTTAAGCCTATCCTATGGAGTGTTGGCTATTCCTACTAGCTTGGTATCATTTGCAAATTTGATGAGTTCCCCATCTATCCCCTTGTCCAAGTCATTGATAAAGATATTAAAGAGTACTGGGCCTAAAACAGAGCCTTGGGGTACTTCACTGCATACTTACTTCCATGTAGATGCAATTCCATTGAGGACTACACGTCGAGTGTGGTTGGTCAGCCAGTTACAAATCCATCTGGTGATGATGCTGTCTAATCCACATTTTTTCTACTTTATCTAGTAGTAGGTTATGGTCTACTTTATCAAATGCCTTACTGAAGTCCAAGTAAATTATATCGACAGCATTCCCCTGGTCAACTAATTTTGTCACTTTGTCAAAGAATGTAATCAGATTAGTCTGGTATAATCTGTTTTTAACAAACCCATGTTGGCTTTTGGTTATTACTTTGTTTGTTTCTAGGTGTTCGCTGATTCATTGCTTGATTATTTTTTCCAGAATCCATTTCTTTAATCCTCTTATCATTACTTTCCTTCTCTGAACTTATTTATTCTATCTGGATATGTCTGGAAAGGAAGTGACTTTGACTGAACACAATACTTAAAATAATGTTCGACCAAAACAAATAAAATCAAAGTATTACTTCCATGATAAAAAGTAACTTCTATTGGTACAAACCAAAATTTCATTTGCCTTTTTGCAACCAGCCATATTGCAAAATGAACACAAGTCAGCAATGTAATCAACTATTATTCTAAAATCTTTTCCTGATTCCACACTTCCACCATCCTATTTCCTAATCCAAAGCATTTCTTTTTTCTAATACAGATAACAAATAACAGCAGAGGTAAAAGTGGACATCCCTGCCTGACTCCCTTTCCTATCTCGAATAAATTTGTCGTTTCTCCATTAATTATTATCTGTGCTTTTTGGATTGAATATATTGACTTTAACATTTTTTCAAATTTGTCCCCAAATTTCATCTCCCTTACTTGCTGCCTCACGAATTGCCAATTTATTTTATCGAAGGCTTTTTGAGCATCCAGAAAAAGTAGTACAGCCTGTTTTTCTGGATGTGCCTCATAGTACTCCAGGATATCTCATACCGTCCTTGTATTGTTTTTAAGTTGTCTTATTGGAAGGAAACCATTTTGATCTGTATATATGTATCTACTCAGTATTTTTTTAAATCTCTCAGCCATTATATTCATAAATATTTTGTAGTCAGCGTTCAATAAAGAAATTGGTCTATAATTTTTTATCTGAGTGGTTGCACTCCCCTTCGGTATCAATGTAATGTATGCTTCTCTCCACGACAGTGGTAGCTTTGCCTCTGTAAGTGCCTCATTATAAATTTCTTAAAGAATTGGGTCAAATATTTCACCTAAATGTTTATATACAGTTCTACAGGTAATCCATCTGTTCCACTGCATACTTACAGGGGTTTTTATTATTTTTTTGTTTACTAATTGCCTCTTTTAGTTCCCCCTTAGTGATATCTTCATTTAATCTTTCCCTTTCTTCTGTTAGTATTGGAATATTTTCTTCCTCTAAGTACTGTTTAATTATGTCTTTATTCATATCTTCTTGTTTATAGAGTTCACTAAAATATTCCAGTACTATTTCTTTTCCATATTGTTTTGTACCTTTCCCTCCTTATCTTGTAATTGCTGAATCCATCTCTTTTCTTTTTCCTTTCTTAACCTATATGCAAGCCCCCTTCCTGGCTTATTTGCATTTTCAAAATAATTTTGCTTTACTAATTTCAATGCTCTTAAATTTATTTCCTGTTCCAATATGTTCAGTTTATGTTTGGCTAAGTTACATTTGTTTATAATTTGCTCATTCTCTGATATTAATTGTGCTTGTCTTTCCAATTTTCTAATATCATTCTGTAACTCATTACTTTCTTTTTCTCTTTCTTTTTTCTTTCTGGCATTATATGCTATTGTTATTCCTCTTAGGTAGGCTTTCGTTGTGTCCCACAGATTCTGTAAAGAAGTATGTTCTTTTATATTTAATTCAAAAAACAAAATTCTTTTTTAAATTTAGCTAAATATTCTTTATCTCTCAGAATTTGTGGGTTCAACTTCCATCTTCCTCTTTGTTTTGATTGGCCTTTCCATGTTACTATTAGAGGGTTATGGTCTGCCCACACATTTGGTGCTATTTCTACTTGCACTATATCTTTCATTAGAGTTTTACTTATCCACGCCATATCAATTCTCGGCCATGATTTGTGGGGAATAGAATAAAAGGTGAACTGCTTTTCTTTTAGGTTATATGTTCTCCAAATATCAATTAAATTTTGTTCTTCTGCCATATTAAAAAAATGTTTTTGGAAGGGTGTTCTTTTTTTTCTTTTTTTTAACTGGTGCTTGGTAGTCCTTTTTTATGTCCGAGACTGCGTTGAAATCTCCTATCATACAAATATCTTCTTTGCCTAATTCTAAAATTTTCTCATATTGTTTGTTAGGAGCATATATTGCAATAAATAAAAGTTTCCTCAGTTCCCATACAACTTTTATCATTAATGTTCTCCCCACTGAATCTGTATATAATACTTTTGCCTCTATTCCTTCTCTAACATATATTACTACTCCTCTCTTTTTTTCTTCCGCTAATGCTGCATAGAATTTTCCTAGTTTTTTATATTATAGATATTTCTTATCCTGAGCTCTAATGTGTTCCTCCTGGAGGCACACTATATCCATTTTTTGTTTTACCAATTTCTTTAAAGTTTGATTTCATTTAGATGGAGAATTGAGTCCATTTACATTTACTGACAATATTTTCAATTTATTTTCCATTTTCCTTCTTTGTTGTTACTACTTAGTTCCTGTTGTTCTTTGCCTCTGTTTGTGCCCTTGTTCTTACTCTGTTCTCTTCTTGTGGTCTTTCTTCTCTTTTCTCTACCTCACCTTCCTGCTCTTTTTCTTTCGTTTCTAATTGTTGGTCTTCTTGGCTGCTCGATTCCAATTCTTCTCTGCTGCTGCCCGCTTCTTCTGTTCCTACCAGTTGGGTGTGGAAGTCTTGCACCTTTTCCAAGGTATCTATCTTAATCTTCTTCCCTTGCCATGACACCAACATTACCTCAGGTGTTATATCCATCTTAACAATATGTTATTTTTATTAAATCGAGTGGCCAGGAAGTGATATTCTTTCCATTGTTCATGCACTCTTTTCGTGATTTGCTTTAGCATAATAATTTCTTTTCCTCTATAGGACATAGGCTCATCTCTGGTGATTTTGTAGATTATATCCCTCACTTTTTTCATGCAGAACGGATGTGGACCTCCTTTGGCAATCTAAATCTTCTGGCATAGTTCGTGTAAACTTGGTAAACTTTGTCCAATTCGTTAGTTATTTTGCTCTTATCTCTTTGGAGAACTTCTGCGATTATTTCCGCCATTATTGCTGTTAAGTCTTCTTCCTTTGCCTCTTCCACATTCTGAAATTGCAGGTAGAATGAGGCTCTCTCCACTTCCAGCTGGATCAAAGAGTTTTCCACTTCCTTATTCTGTTCTTTCATTTTCTGGTCCACCGATTCCAACTTCTGTTCTGTTTTTTCTGCTCTCTTCTCAATCATTTGCAGTCTTTGGTCTTTTTTTGTAAAACCTCTTGGATCAGCCCCCCCCCACCTTCTTGTCTAGCTTCTGAATATCATTTCTGACTTCTCTTTTGACTTCTTCCATTTCAATCTTCATTTCTCCGTGGTTTCTAGTCATATTTTCCTGTAGCTTTATCATTGTAGCCTGCATATTCGTCACAGAGGTTGTTTTGTCTGTTGTGAACATTCCTTCGATAGATCTTTGTGTAGATGGAGATGGTATAGCTGTTGCTGTTGCTGGAACGGGTTTCTTCCCAGTCTTCATTGTAATTGTCGTGAAACTTGCCATTTCTTGCAGTATTTTATGTTGCTGTCCTAGTATTTTTTTCTATCCTTTCCCACAACACCATTCAATGTTTTCCTGATTTCTCTGGTCCTTCTTTTTACTAGACTAGCCAAGTCCAGTTCCTGTAACTGTTCTCCATATGTTTTAGGCTCCAGTCCCCTAATCATCCTGGTTGCTCTTCTTTGTACTTTTTCTAGCGTCTCAACATCTTTTTTATAATGTGCTGACCAAAACTGGATGCAGTACTCTAGGTGTGGTCTTACTAAGGCTTTATAGAGTGGTATTAGTACCTCCCTTGATCTTGATTGTATCCCTCTGTTAATACAACTTAGGATTGCATTAGCTTTTTTGGCTGCTGCTACATACTGCTGGCTCATATTTAGCTGGTTGTCCACTAAGACTCCAAGATCCCTCTCATAGTTACTGCTATTGAGCCTGGTTTCACCCAGTCTATATGCGTACTTTTGGTTTTTCTTGCCTAAGTGTAGGACTTTACTTTTCTCTACATTGAATTTCATTTTGTTAGATACGGCCCAGTGTTCTAGTCTGTCAAGATCCATCTGGATCTTGAGCCTATCTTCTTGGGTGTTAGCTAATCCTGCCAGCTTAGTATCATCTGCAAATTTGGTAAGTTCCCCTTCTTTTCCCTCATCTAAGTCATTAATGAAGATATTGAAGAGTACTAGGCCTAAGACGGAACCTTGTGGCACCCCACTGTTTACTTCCCTCCATGTAGACTTAAACCCATTAAGGACTACTCATTGAGTACAGTTTCTCAGCCAGTTGCGAGTCCATCCAGTGGTGGTGCTATCTATTCCATTTTTTTTCTAGCTTACTAAGAAGTAGGTTGTGGTCTACTTTGTCGCATGCCTTGCTGAAATCTAAATATATATAGTCCACAGTATTTTGCTGGTCTACTAATTTAGTCACCATGTTGAAGAATGAAATTAGATTGGTTTGGCATGATCTGTTCTTAACAAATCCATGCTGACTGCTAGTTATTACTTTACTTGTTTCTTGATGTTGGCAGATCTCAGGGATGGGATCCAACAGGGTTAACTACTGGTTTGGTGATTTACAAGGTTCGGTGATTTACTATGTGCTTTCCTGCATGCTGTGTGCGCGCCTGTAAATCGTCATCAGCCTGGTACCTGGACAGCTGAGCAGCACTGCGTGCCAAGAAGCAGCCTTTGAAAAAGTACTTTTTTCCTGCTTTTTCAACTGTAGCTGTGCCTCGCACGGCAGCTTAAGTTGAAAACTCAAGAAATAAAGGTCAGGTAAGAGCCCGGGCGGGCAGGTGGGCAAAAACATCAGCAGACATAGAACCAGTTCTATGTCTGCTGCTCTTCAGAGCTGCCGGTTCTACAGAGGTGGACAGAACCGGTAGAAACCCACCACTGGCAGATCTGTTTTTTTATTATCTTTTCCAGTATCTTCCCAGGTATTGATGTTAGGCTGATTGGTCTATAGTTTCCTGGGTCTGTTTTTTTTCCCCTTTTTTAAAGATGGGAACCACATCAGCTCTTTTCCAGTCCTTTAGGAGTTCCCCAGTGCTCCAGGATTTTTTAAAGATATGGTGCAGTGCTTCTGGGATGACCTCTGCCAGCTCCTTTAAAACTCTGGGATGTAATCCATCAGGCCCCGGTGATTTGTGTTCATCAAGGTCAGACAGGTGTTCTCTTACAATTTTTTTGCTTACTTTAACTTTTATTTTTGGTCTGTCTTTTACAGTTATGTTTTGGGTGGGTTGAGCTATAGTTTCTTTTTGCGTGAAGACTGATGCAAAGAATGAGTTAAGCAGTTCTGCTTTTTCTCTATTGCCTGTTACTTCCTTTCCGTCTTCTCTCTTTAGTGAACCGACTGTTTCCTTGATTTTTTTCTTGTTATTTATATGTTGGAAGAAACTTTTTTTATTATCTTTGACTTTTGTAGCAAGTCTTTGTTCGTTCTGAGCCTTTGCTATCCTGACTTCGTCTTTGCAGATTCTGGCCTTAGTTGTAAGTCCTTCTTTCCATTTTTTGTACTTGTCCTTTTTTTCTTTCAATTTACCAGAGAGATCTTTGTGCAGCCATGCTGGTTTTTTCTTGGATTTCTTGTTTTTCTTTCTCAGTGGTATTGTGTTGATCAGGGCTTCTATGATCATACTTTTCAGAGTTTCCCAAGATTCTTGAGCTGTTTTCCCCTTTAGGATTTTCATCATGGAATCTTTCCCAAGTTCTCTCTGAGTTTATTAAAATCAGCTCTTTTAAAATCGAAGACTCTGGTGCATTATGTTCTATTGCTTGTGTTTGTGTTATGTTGAATTCTAGTATGACATGGTCACTCTCACCCAGGTTGCATTTCACCCAAGGTTCAACCAAGGTTCCTGCAGTTTCAACTCCCTCTATCACTTCTTCTCTGTTTGTAAGAATTAAGTCCAGTATGGCTGTCCCTCTAGTTTCACCCTCTACCTTTTGGACAACAAAGTTGTCAGCTAGGTTGGTTAGGAACTTATTTGATTTCTCACTTGGTGCAGAATTAGTTTTCCAATTGATATCAGGATAATTGAAGTCTCCCATAACTATTGTTGTGTGTTTCCTGCATATGTTTGTTAGTTGGTTGGCAAAAAGGACATCTATTTTTTCTGCTTGATTTGGTGGCCTATAATATATATGTCATTCTTTTTTTCTTTTATATTGACTCATATGCATTCTAGGAGGTTTTCATCTTTGGTTTCATGCATTTCTGTAGCAATATAGTGGTCCTTTACATACAGTGCAACTCCATCTCCTCTTTTATGGGGTCTAGGTTTTTTGAATAGTTTGTACCCTTCTATCAGCATGTTCCAATCATGGGTTTCGTCCCACCAAGTTTCTGTTATTCCAACTATATCATATCTACCTTCATGTATTCATAGTTCAAGTTCACCCTGTTTGTTCCCCAGACTTTGTGCATTTGTATATAGGCACTTGAGATCTTTATGTCTGACACTTTGTTTACTGTCTGCATAACCTGTGTTGTGCCTGCCTGCCCCTACTTTCTTGCCACCTGTTTGATTAATGCACATGGTATGGCACTCACTATTAAATGCTTGGTTTTGGTTGACAGGAAGATTGATAATCTTACCTGCACAAACATCTATTTTGCATGCACTCGTATCATTATTAATTTTAGATTGATGGGGACAGAAATGTTCTGTATCCATCTCTGTCCCTGCTGTTCAGTTTAAATTTTTATCCAGGAAATCTATGAATTTAATGCCAAGTAACCCAGTCTCTTTCTTTGATGGATGCAAATCATCTCTTTTGTACAGTTTTTCATTGGACCAGCTGCAGACATCATGACTAATAAAACCAAAGCCCTCCTTTTTATACCACTCCTTTAGCCACACATTAAACTCCGCTACGCACTGGCCTTTCCCTTTTTGTTCCTTGTATACTGGTAGAACCTCTACAAAAGAACCAAATTCAAAAGATTTGGAAGCTATTTATTTTATTAAAAAAATTGAGTTCCACTAGTATACATTTCTTCTTACTTTCTTGCTTCCGATTATTAAACCATCCACTCCTTTATGTCAGTGAAAACTCATTCATCCAAGCCAAAGGGTCTGAAGGTTGAATCATGGCAACTGGACCAAACTTTGTTAATCTGAGACATTTCATTGCTATCCAAGCAACTTCATCAGTCAGAGCAAAATTAGACCAAGTCAGAAAATCATTAGAAAGTACCAACTCTTAATCCTGTTTGCTTTAATTTAGACAGTTAGGATGATTTTCATACTTTGGAAGTATATATTTTTGACATATATACCATCTTAGCATTGTTTTTCATCCCTGCCAGGAGCTATTCTCACCAGGCTACAATGAGACTGCATAGCAGGATTTGGAGGCAATAACAGGATCCTGGTGATAATTCATCCCTCTTTTCAAAAAATGGGAGGGAGATTTGAATGTAGAATTAAGGTGTTTCTTTTTTTTTTAGTGTTAGATTTCTTTGAAAATTTAAAAATTACTGATATGTTCTTCTTCCAAAAATTTGTATATCATATTGTTAGCTAGCATAATATAAACAATTAAGTTTTCCTAATTTTTACTTTAGGTATTTGTTATTACTCAACTGATAAAACAGGAACTTTTGGTAAGTGTACTTCAGCCATTTTATTTTACTATTTTAATAAATATATCATTATATACCTGAATTCTTTGTTCTGTTACTGCTTCTAAAATAGACACCACTATCTAGATCAGGGGTGCCAAACTCGTGGCCCAAAGGCTGGATGCATCATGTGCTGCCCATGCCCACCCCAGTTTTAGCAAAGGGGGGGGGAGTTGCAATACATCATGTAACAACAATGTGACACCACAAGTTTGACAACACTGATCTCGATGAAGAATCCTGAAGCCCAAAGCACGCCTCTTCCAAGATTATTGTCATAGCAGCAGTTCTCTGTAGTAGGGAAGACTACAGAAATGGCTGGCTGGCTGAACATCATCAAATGAACTTACATGGTTGAGGGAGGACTTGAACATTAAACATTAAAACAAGAATTTATCAATTAAGCACTGATAACATTCAAAATAGGTCAGAGGTTTAAAATAATACTATCTGTTCACCTTCATAAGAAAAAAGTAGGCTGTTATAAATCCATGCCCAGCTATAACACTACAGGAGCACAAATTCTCATTGGGAGAGAAAAGGAAACTTGGTATATCAAACTTAAATTAGGCATATTATATGTGTTTGTTTGTTTTTAAATCATATAAAAAAGCCTAATCTTGCCTTTACTAAGGCTTAGCCTGACTCATTGACCTCTAAGAAATATGTGGAAAAATATATGAAATTATGCACCGTAAAGATTGCTTGGAGATGGGAGACATTTCCAACATAATCTCCCTTGCATGGATTACCCGTGACTATGTACGACAGATGGGGAAGAAGCTAACCACCAAATTGCAAGAACACAAGCAAGCAAGATTAGGAGACCCAAACTCATTGTTGCCTCACATTACAATAATCACGGACATACATTCGATTTTGCAGCTACTAAGATTGTTGAATGACCAGGCACAATAATAGCCAGGGAAGTGATTGACACAGGGCCCCTCACCAATCAACGGAAGTGCTGATTTACCCCCCCAGTTTATCCAGAACTTAGGAGTTGGAGTTATCAAGTCAAGGAGTTTCTGGACAACACAAGGAAACAAGAGCCAACAACTTAATAGCCAGCCATCAACTCCCCAACCTACATCTAAAAAGCTACACATAACAGGCAACATATAAATACCACACATGGAACATCCCAAAGCATACAGAAAAATACCTGAGGATGGGCTCCAGCATGAGTCAAAAAGCTCGTTAGGCAAAACTCTGGCCCCTATGACTCAGATTGGATCCTGCAACATTTTCCTGGGACACATATATTTGCCTTAATTTGGGAAAGACTTATTCCAGGTCCCTGGCTTTAAGATAAGTGAATGAAATATTGTAAATTTATAAGATAATATATGAACTTTTTGAAAAGCTGTGCTTGGCACATCATTGCTCTAAATCTAAAATATGGGATGACAACAAGTGTTCTTTATATGCAGAAGTGTTCTGTCTCGCCTTTCCTCTTTCCCAAAAGATGAAAGAGTACACACACACACAAACACAGGCAGGCAAGCTGGCTTGGACTTCGCAGAGTTAATTCTTTGGAACTGATAGTATTCTTGCCATTCCACCACGTCCTGCCTGCCAAGTCCGAACTGGCAGCAAATAAAGTTTTACTCACAGAGATAAACGATTCTTTTACTTCATAAAAATCACAAGGTAGTCCACAAAATAATAATTCACGAAGAAAATCTGAAGTAAGGTTAAACTTTGTCCCGTACAAAGTTTAAGGAGAAAACACACCCACTTTTATTCCCTGTGGGGTGTGGCTCAATAACTCAGCTCACTCTCTGACCCTCCCATGCCTCCTACGTTGCTGCTCACGTTTCTCCCTACGACGCTGCTTGGGGTCAAGCCAATAGTCTTCCTCTTCACTCCCTGTCAGGGGTTGCTCCGACATACCTTCTGATTAATCTCAGGCTGTTCCTCTCGGTTGTTTGATGGAACCTGAGGCATTACCAGGGAGGAAGGTCCTGGGGAGGAAGGCATTCTCAGTTCCTCCCCCTCATCTTCCAGGTCTTCTTCCTCTGACAGCATAGGCTCGGGAATCAGGGCCACAACACAGAAGTATGTAAGAAAAAAAGTAGATAAGAAAGTACAGATTTTTTTCAAAAAATTTATTGTACTGGATGGGAAGTTAAACTAAACTGACAGGTCTGAGATTGATATTGTTATCTCATTCTATTTCCTCATTTTATTCATGTAATTCTTTTGCATTTCAGAAATACAATTTTCGTCTGCAAGTGCAGGTAAAATCTTTTTGGTCTTTCCCTTTCATTAATCTTTTATATACATACTTCATTTCAGAGTTCTCTTTGCTATTACACAAGTATGTTTAACAAGTCAATCAAGCCTAATTAAGCAACCATGGTAAATCTAAAGAGTTTGCTAAGTTCAAAGTGAAAAAGCCTGCAATAGATGTCTTAAAATTTTAGCAGCTATTTATACGAGTTACCTAGGGAAGTACTATGAATACTAATAACCATTTAAAATCTTGCTAGCTAATACAAAATGTTTCTATTGATTACTAGTAAAAAAAAATTATTTTCTTTTTAGATTTTTTGAAAGATGTGGGCATGAAGCTGAAAAGGATTGGAGATGGTACATTGATTTCTTCATTTATATTGAATTTTATGGAAATCAGATAATGTATAATTTTTTAAAAGAAAATGATATAATCCAATACTGAATTTCCTGGAAATTCACCTTCATAGCAGAAAACATGACATATTTTGGTCAGTGCTCATGTGCAAGAATGGGGACAGTCAATATTAATATTTCAAAAGGACCCAGTTACAAATGCAAGCACCAGAAGAATTAAGAGCCTTGGGATTTTTTTCCTAATTTTTTTATGTTTAACCTGAGCCAACCTGCTGTACACTCATAGCCATATTGGCAAGAAATTAAGGAAGCTGAAGATGTCAGTCAGACGCTGAACTGATGCTTTCTTAACTCTAGTTCTATATTCCCTCAAAATTTCTTTTCATTGACTCTCTGTCTTAATACCAAACATGAAGTCAGAAATATGCTTATGATGTTTACCGAGGGAAAAGGTGCTTCCATAGTATACCAGTGTGATTAAAATAAAGTATTTTGCATTTTCCCCCTTATTAGAACCGGAAAAGAACGGGTCTATGACAATTCGCCACAGCCAGCTCATCATGACCAACCTGCCACAGCCAACTCGCCATGGCCAACTTGCTACAGGACAGCTCACCACGGCCATCTCACCAAGGACAACTCGCTGCAGGAAAAGAGTTACACTAATATCAAAGAAATGGTGGAATAGAATCATTAAATAAAGGATGAAAAAGAGGAACAGAATTAAATGTGAATGGCAAAAATTAAAATAATATTTATTTTAAATAATTAAATAGAATTGTTAAAAATGTTCTGCAATGAGTTGTCTTGCAGTGAATTGGCCATGGTGAGTTCGCCCACTGCAAGTTGGCTGTGATGAGTTGGCAGTGGCAAGTTGGCTGTGGTGAGTTGGCCGCACTGAATTTGCCACAGCAAATTGGTTGTGGCAAGTTGTCCCATTCCCAAAATCTTGTCCCCCAATATGTGTCTTTTATGGAGCTTGATTGAAAGTCTGTAATTTCATTTGAAGCGGGGGATGAGTCTTCTAACAATAGCTAATGCCTATCTGTTTTGTCTACTATGGGCCTCATGGGATCAAGACACAAAAGATCTAACAACACGGGTTCCTAGACAAAACACAACCACTTGCATTTTCACATACTCTTTTTCACTACTCTTCTGCACAATTACTGCTGCTCTATTACTGCTATTCCAATGACTACCCTTTGTGAGTACTACTAGAGGAAAACATTCTTTTTTAGGCTGCTTTATTTCTGCACACAAACATATACCTCCTTCTCTCTTTTTTTTCTCTCTCTCAGACATACCTTCAAGCTGTTTCATTCAAAGCCTTTATAATCAACCTTGCCATCCTGATGCTGGGGTGGTGGTTTAAAGAAAAGGGAAGAAAGCATCATAGATGCTAACAATTTTCTGGAAAGCCTGCTCTCTCACAATTAATAATAAAATAATAAAAATAATAACATTCAACATGATTCATTCAGAGACCAAATTGTAAAACATATAGAACTTAAAAGACTCTGCAATGATATTATACGCTGGCAATATTTATTACTGGGCTCAGTTAAAATAAAATAATATCCAAATTTTTATTTTTTAGCTTTTTTATCCTGGCTTTTTTCATATACAACTTAAGGTAACGAATATACTAATTCTCCCTTTTCCTCCTGTTTTATCCACATTTTTTTCTTCTCACATTAGCCACGAAAATAACAGAAAACACAGATTTCAACACTTTTGTCTCTGTTTGGAAAGGCAATAAGAAAAACCTTCGAAGGGAAGTTGAGGAAGAATATGTACCATTTTCTTTAATGTCTTTAAACCTGCGTGGCAAATTTCTAACTAATTTTGTGGTTCTAATGAAGAAATCTGACCTTTTGGAAAAACTGCAGCTCCAGGTAAAGAAGTTTCTGTTGTTAATATTGTGGTTCATTTATTTTGCTTCTCATAGATCTACATAATTGTGGCAGCTGTATATGACCTACACAAGATTATATTGTTATATAATTGCTGACTTCTTCAAAGATTTCTCACTGAAGAAGTCAATAGGTGAACTCTCTTATTAGGCTTCCCTATTTGTCTCCCAATCAGCAATTATGTTTTAATATTTGAGATATAAGATTTTTCTGCTGCTATTACCAAATTTATTTATTTATTTGCTTACTTACAGGGTTTATATGTCTTGTATAATGATCCCAGGAAGCTGACATCAATCAGTAAAAACAAGAATGAAAACAAAACCATTATTCTGTCCTCTATAATTACTGACTGAATGTATAAAGGCAGATAGGTAACTCCACAAAGCATCCATACAAAGTCTTTTTATTGGTTCATCAGGCATTCTCAATAACTCACGTTTATGTCGAGATTCATCTCAATGTCCAACTCTTTGCATAGCTGACTTTCTGGTGTAAAAGGATGGTAAACTTTCATCCCCAAAATGAAGGAGCAAGGGGGTGAGGCAGCAGCATGTTGCTGGGTTCCAGGCAAGAGTGCAGAAACCTCCCCCAACCCACCAAGGGTCAATTCAGTGACCAGTCAGGATTACAGATGTGGCCACATGACATGGACTACATTTCCCAGGATACCTTAACTAGATTTACCATGATGCATTCCCTTAAGGGGACAGCTCCCAATTCCTAACTAACTATACCAATTCCCATTACTATATACTGGCTGGACAGCACAACCATCCTGTTTTCCATGTACCAGACCAAATAATCTATTAGCCTTCTGACCCAGTATGTATGCTAGTCCAATGCTTGGGGGAAACCAAATTTCAGATATCTGAGCTGGGAGCCTATTCTGAAGAGTTTTTTTTAACAATACATTTTTTTATTTTTATTTTTTTAAAAACATCTCTTTAAATGAACATGTGGTTCCAGGTTTTTACATTTTGCAGGTTTTATCACATTATATTATTCCATTCATTATTCAATAAAGTTCATCTTGATTTATATTTTCCAATAGTTATCCCCTTTCATTGTCAATTCAATCTTGCCACCCATTTACCTTATACATTTACCCCATTTTATTATCTTTAACCCATTATAGAAATTAATAACAATATAGCCATTTTTTTTATTTTTTATTTTTTTAAGCAAGTTTTATTAATTTCAAAAAACAAACAAATCATCATCAACCATTACATATTTGAACCTTTTTCCATTATAGATTTAACAAGTCAGATAAAACCTTATCTTATACAATACATTTCTATATTATTTCATCTATTTCTTTCTGACTTGATTATCGTCACTCTCTTTCTATGTTTCTACAAGGTTTCACCAATACTTTCAAAGACATAAACAAACACAAACATACATATAAAAAATCTTTTAGTAAAGTAATTTGGCCCCAGGTACCTCTCTTTATATGGGCTTTAATTATATTCATGCTCATCTTACAGATCATTACTTATTTTATTTACCATTCTGTATCTTCTATATAAACTTCTCCACACATTTCACTCTTCATAATTCTATCTTATTCAATCCATCTTAGTTTAAATCATTATATTTGTATCTTTTGCCCATCCTTTATTATCCCTCTATCTCATTCCTTATAATGAGAAAAAAAAAAAAGAATTTCTCCTGAAATCACTAATCAGAGTATGATGCCCTTCTATCCTCTCCCTAAATTAATTAGACTAACATTTAAAATAACACCTAATACCCAATTTGATTCTGCTTGGTACATTCTATCTACTAATTTTTACTTTTAGTAACAATAAAAACAGAGTAAAAAAACAAAAATGTTTAAATACATAATATCCTCCTAAATACGTACTTAAATAATAAATCTAAATAATAAATCTTATAGCATTCTCATTGCCTTTCCCTTCAATATTTTATTACATTTTAAAAATCAATCATTATTAAACATTTCAACATTTTAATTTCTTATTAACTCTTAAGCCATTCTAATTTTTTATTTCTAATACAAATGTTACAATACCATCTTGTGTACCTTGCAGAATCTTTTTTAAAAAAATTTATGCTTTACCCATTATCCCTAAAAAGGATTCCTCTTTTCCCATCTAATTTTAAAACTTTGTGGCTTTTCTCCGCCTTTCCCCTTTCTTTCTTCCCCCACCAAATCTTCCTACCCCCTCTTCTTCTAACCTCTATCTTGCTGGCATCCCTTCTCTGTTGTATTCCCCTTTTCTCTTGTTTGCTATCATTGTATTTATTTTGCATCATATTTTTCTCTTTCTTAAATGTTTTTTTAGATCTTAAATCCTTCATTTTCCTCGCTTTCTTCCTTCCTTCTTTCTTAGATGAATTTTGGGGTTCATTGAAGATGGCGTCTTCATCTTCTTCTTCTTCTTCTTCAGCTTCCATCTGTATTGTCTGTTCGTAGTTAACCAACACCATTTCTAAAAAAAGAAAAGCTTTTTCCATACCATCTTTACAGGCTGCTTTTGTTTGCTCATATTCATCCCTCAGTTCCTCAAAAGAAAAAGCCATTATAGATCTTTTCTTTTCTTTTTCCCTCTTTCTTCTCACACCAACCAAAATATTCCAAAAGAAAAATAAGACAATCCCAAAGTCCACAATCCTCAATCAGTCCAAGCCAAGCCAAAATTCCCCCTTTCTCTTCCAGGGGTAGTATCAGACAAAGGAAAAAAGAAAATTCAAATCTGTGTTTTGAAGCCTTATTAAGATTTTATTTCTGTTTTCAAATCCTTAAGGCATCTCCTCCAACAAAATCCAACCAGATAAATATATTTTTTGTCCTCTCCCTTCCGACTTATCCCAAAAGCTAGATTTACCTGAAAAAAAAAACAGGTTTCTCAATATCCATTTATTAATTCCATCGGGGGGGGGGAGAGTAAACTTTCCTTTCAGCACCTCAGAATTGCCGCTTATTTTCTCTTGTGGAAAGAATCATCCAAAAAGCCATCATTTTCAGGAATTAAATTAAATATATCTTAGAGTCCTGGGTCGACCAAGAAGACTTTCACTTTTAAAAACTTTCTCCTCTTCCTCCAGCGCATACTTGCCCAGCTGCCGGCTTCTTTGTGGCGGCCATTACGGACCGCCGCTGCACCGTCTTGGTAAAAGGAGGTTCTGCCGGCTAGGGAGGGGGTCTGCAGCACCCCCAAACCCTTTCTCGGATCCCCCCTACCTTCAGCTGCCCCTGCAGGGCAGCCTTGCTCCGCACCCTTTCAGATCGGAGCCCCAAAAACTGCTAGCACGGCAGGGATCGCGCAGCTTCGCGAATCCCTACCGCTCGCAAAGCCGACAAACCGGAAACCTCAATATAGCCATTTTTAATTACTATATTCTACATTGACAAGAATCCTCTACATTATGGTGTGTGTGTGTTTATGTGTGTGTGTGTATGTGTGTGTATCAGATTCCCTTGGTATTCCCTTTTCTCTATTACATTCTGATTCTTATATTTATTCCAAAAGCACTTACATAACAAATTATTTTTCCCATTTTATTTCATTTGGTCAATTATTAGCTCTTATAATTGACCAAATGAAATAAAAGGGGAAAAATAATTTATTATATAAGTGTTTTGGGACAATATAATAATTTTTAATTCTCATGCTCCATATTCACTTTATTCATTATCTTATTAAATATTAGTAATCTTGTAGTAAATTCTTATTTCCATATCTGTTCCAGTTAAATTTATGTCTAGTTTTGATAATACTTCTTAAAAAAATCAATTCCAATCTTCTTAACCTTTATATCATATTCTTAAATACCAAAATACATTTCCATGCAGAATTCCCTTTCCTACTCATCTTTAACCATCGTCTCTTGTCCTCCTGACTATATAATTTCTTCTCATCTTAGCTTGCTTCCCATTTTCTATCATTTTTTTGGTCTTTTCTCTTAATTTCCCTTCTTTTCCCTGTTATTTTCCCTCAAATTTCTTTCTCCAATTATTTATTTTAACCCCCTCCCTCTTTTGACCTTTTCTCTGTAATTCCCTCTTCTGTAATTTCTTCTTCCTTTGCTTAACCTTCCAGATATTTCCCCCTTTGTTTATCAGATCAATTCTTAAAATCTTAATTTTTACTCTTTTTTTGTCCTTTTTTAATGGTCACTGTTCCCTTTAGTCTTTAAAGCTGATTTCTTCTTTGTTTAACTTCTCCCCCTTTGGCTTTCTTTGTTCTTCTGTGATTTGTGTCATCATTTCTAGTTTTTCCATTATAGTACTCCATATTTCTGAGCTTTTATTTATCATATCTTTCATGCTTTGCAGTTCCAGTCTTATTTCTTTATATATTTCACTCATTTTATTTCACTTCTTCTTTTTCTTCCTTAATATTTATATCCAATCCGATTATCCTGTAGTTTATTTAAACCAGCATCTTTTTATATTTTAATTTTTACAGTCAGAGTCCATAAGTCTTTATTTTCCAGTTTTATTCAGTTTGCTGCTTTTCAAAATATTTTAAGATCACCAGTCAGTACCAGCGTAGTATCTTTGTGTGTCCCTTTACTGTAATATTTTAATATTCCACTTTTGAGGGTGGGGTTGTTATATTAAAGTTCTTTGTATTTCTTTTCACATTTAGATCTTAAGTAGACCAAACACTTTTCATAAAGCCAGTAAAAAGTTTTCTTTATCATTAGGTGGTGCTCTTAATTCAGTTTCCACTTTCCACCTTTTAGTTTTCTGCTTTTTTAAGCTTTTAATAACTTCACTAATTCCCAATTATTTGCTGTTATTTCTTTTTGAAATAGTCAATTTCAGCATTTAATCAATACCTAATTAGTGCCAAATTCTGTATAAGTATCCAATTCAATTTCTTAATCTGTTATAGTTGAACGTTTTTCTCTAAATTATTTCATATCCATTTAAATATTTTCCAAAGTCCAATTTCTTACGTTTTCAATATTTCCTCTCTCTTTCAAATCGCCTCTTCTACAATCCTTAACGAGAACTCTTTTCTTCTATTCCGGAGTTACCTTTTAATGTCCAGATATTTCACCTGGTCCACATACCATTCACTACTTCACCGCTCCAGCACAACCTTAGTTCCCAGTTAGCCTTCCATCTTCATGGTAGCCATTTTGAGGCTACTGCTACAGCCCGTCTTCAGAGGGAATGTTCCTAGCTAGGGAGGGGAGATGCGGCTCCCCTTGACCTGACAGGCAGTCTCCCCCCTTTTCACCACCCCATAGGGTAGCTCCAGTCCCATTCGGGACCCTCCAATGGGTAGAGCACAAAGCGAAGCCGTGCACAATTGCAGACTCGGATCTGTCTTTGATGGAAGTGCCACTGGAAGTTGAGACTATTCCAAAGAGTATGGTGACTAGAGAAGACATGCCTCCAAGATCCCATGAGATGACAGTATTTAAGGGAGGGGACTCCTCAGCCTATCTCCTTTTGGAATGGACAAATAACCTCTGGGGACAAATAGTCCTGCATGTAGCCTGGTCCTGAGCCATGTTGGCATTCAAAAGTAATAACCAGCACCTTAAATTGTACCCAGGAATAATTAATAGTTACTGAAGCTCATGCAACAATGGTGTAAGTTGGATGAATCACAGGACACCCAGAACTTGTGTGGCATTGCATTCTGGACCAATTGTATTTCTAGTTGGCCTTCAAGGGCACCCCCATGTGGAATCATTTGCAGTAATGCAATTTGAAGGTGACTAAGGCATAGTAACCAAAGCCTCCTAGTGCAGAATTAGCTCACAAGATGATTTTTTCCAAAGGCTCTATGATGGGCAGAAAAAATAATCCTGAGGGACAGGAAGAAGAGCCAAGACAACCAAGACAACTATTAGATCAAAAACATCTGAGCCTAGCACACAACTGTAACCTGAGTAAGCATCTCAGACAAGAGTTTTGAGTGCCCACAAAGATAAAAGAGAAGGAGGGGGAGCACACAGATATTTGCAAGATTAATGTCAATTCTTCAAGATAAACTAGACCACATTAGAAAAGCAAAGTCATGAATTATATTATTTCTGTTACCATAACTTTATAATAAGTAGCATTAGCATGCATGACTTTTCTAGTCTGGTTACCTTAAAGGGCTGCCATTTATCCTTGCAATAAAATTTTACTTAATTTTTGGGATTATTGGGTACTAAGACCTAAACAACTGCCAGGTTTTCCAACTCTCAGGTATTACTGTTTCTCTCAAAAGAGCATTTGGGGGAAGCTCAAGAAGATCTGGCAGACAGGAAGGAGGAAGTTACACTGGGGGACTGCCAGCCTATCAGTTACCAAAAATCACAATATCCTTTTTGCCCAATGCTAGAAAAAAATGACTTACGTTTCCTCTGTCACAAATTTAAAAAAGCATTTCCCCCTGTGGTTCTTAAGTTTTATGTTTAAAAATTTCATTTAAATTCCCAATGAACTGAATTCAGATTCAATTCTCACATTACAGTAACCCATCCATGTACATATGTACCACCAAATCCATCTGTAAAATATTATTTTCCTGCCTGTTTCTCCAACTTGAATTCTAGCTGGAACAGGTTCTTGAGGATCCTGAACAATTCAGACTAAATATGGACGAATCAGAGTTTAAGGATCTGATGGACAACTTGCAAGATGTCAAAGGAGCAATTGTCACTGAACTTGCCGAGGCTACCCTCTATTTTCTTCAGGCTCTTGATGGTAAAAATAGTCTCTTTCAAATTACAATGGTCATTAATAATTCACTAACTTTCAGCCTAAGAGCAAGTAAAATTGGAAGACAAACACATCTTTACAAAATTTCCCCTCTCTCTCTCCCTCTCTGAGGAAGAGAGGTGGTTAAGAAATGCAAAATATAATTAAATAAAAAATTGTAAGGTGTTTTTGTACAAATATCTATATGTTGTTCAAGTGACTACAAACAAGACTTATTAACTGATCAGAGATGAGATAATCAATTAGTTATTTGGCTACCACTTCCTGGACTTGTACCCTAACCAACTTTGCGCGGAGGCTGAACAAGCTACTACTATAATTTTCAACCAAAACAGAAGAAAGACCTTAGAAAACAATTGCACCATGACCCAATCAGAGCTAGACCACCATACAAGAGTGTGGGCAGGAATGGGGGCGGGGGAGAGAGATTTCCAATATTGTTGGTCCTGCTTTAAATAAACCCTACACATAATCAGAGTGTTATGTCCCAAACAGATAGAACATCTTCATCTGGAAATGCATAGGTATGCCAAAATCTGCTGAAGTCTATTGAAGCCAGAAGAGGGTCATTGTTTAGTGACCCTAATCGGGACTGTCAATCCACTAATTAAGTGAAGCAGTTGCCAGTGAAACCTCTATCATGCTTATAATCTTACCTCACCTTCCCTTTGCTTTATACACCTGCAAATATTGTGAATGCGTGGATTAGTCAAAAAGTTACTTTTTTTCACCATTGTAACTGCAAATAGTTGCTAAATGAGGCAATTGCTAAACAAAGACTATCTGTACATTTCCATAGGCCCATAATTGGATGGGCAGACATTGCTCATACATAGCATAAAGCAACCTGAAGACTTGTCCCCAAAAGTTTTCTTAATGAGTAATCTTTATTATAAATAAATGTTACAGTTGCACCTAAGATTAAACTGAACAACAAAAAATTCAGAAGATACAAGGGAATGCAACTTTAGACATGGGTGGAATCCACCCATAGTGCTAATTCATAATGACTTTACATACTGTATGAACACTGCTATTAAAATAAACCATGTTTAAGGGCCAATAAACTTCGTTAATAACTTGATCAAAATTTATTAAATGATTTTTCACTTTGTGAATTCACAATGGCTGAATTCACATACAGTAGAAAGATAGAAACATAGGAGCCTGCCTTAATATGATACTGATGTAACTGACCACTGAAAGGTAAATTGCAAGGAATCAGAACTGCTATGTGATTTAGTATGGTTAATCCAGTTTCATTTATTTATACCGGTAGCACATTCCAGTTTAGAATTAACTGTAGATAATGTAAGGGGTTATTAATTCAAATTGATCTAAATCATCTGTTCCAATTGAGAATAAAGAATTACTGCTACAGAAATGTTGGGCAGTTATTTTTGATGTAACATTTTCTAGAACAGACCTATTTTCTCTTTTTTTTTTCCTATAAAATCCAGAACTGACAGAATTCCAGATAATGCTACTGATAGAATCTGTGGAAAAAAAGATTGTATCCCAGCAACTGAACCTGGTAAGAGAACTTAAAGTAAAAATAATTTTGCTTTTGTTAACATTCATTCTTCTCTGAGGCATTAAGATATTACACGTGAGTTTCCTCTAGCTCACAGATGACAAACTCAATTGCGTTATGTGATGTCACATGACGTACTGCGACTTTTTTTGCCTTTGCGGAGGCAGGGTGGGCATGGCCTGTGTGTGATGCATCTGGCCCACGAACTGCCAGTTTGACCCCCCTGCTCTAACTGAACTAAGAGGCTATATGTACAAGGCTTCTGCTTGTTTATTGTAGACTTAACAGCAATGCAAAATGAACTTTGGGTTTCTATTGTATTTGTATGCTAATAAAACATTGAGGCATACAGAAGAGATAGTCCTCACCTTATGGCCACAATTGATACCACAGTTTCTGTTATTAAGTAGGGCAGTTACCAAGTGAGTCACACTCAATATTATGGTCAATTGTGTGACCCAATTTTATGACTGATTTTATCACCACTTTTGCCATGAATGTTAAGTAAATCACTACAGTTGTTATGTGAATCCAGCTTCTCCCATTGACTTACCTTCTTGGAAGCCAGCAGGGAGAATGGCAAATAATGATCCCATGTCTCTAGAGCACTGCAAATGTTGTTAAATACACGCTAAGTGTCAAGCACCTGATCTCTGATCATATGACTGTGGCAATGTTGCACTGTTGCAAGTACAAGGACCAGTCCTAAGTAATTTGTTTCCAGTGCTGATGCAACCTTACAGGATTGCTAAACCAATGGACTATCTGTACATACTTTGGGTACAACTGAAACAATTTTTTGCTATGCAAACTGTTTCAAATCCAAACATTTTGAGATTGAAATAGATCATTTTACTGTTACCACACTGGTATTTCATGCTTAGAATACTTTCAGGATCCTCAAAGCAGAATTGCATCACTTCCAATAAGACTGAGGCAATTACAAGGTTATAGCATTCAGATTTGAAATTTATTCTAATATAATGCCATATACACACTGCATTTTATATTGGCCTCAATTGATTTTCAACGTGTATCTTACTGATCAAGTACTGCAAATTCTATTTTATTTATCTTTTGTTTCCAAAGGTTGGAGGGATCCTAGACAAATATTTTTGGAATGAAAAACAGAATTTTACTGTGGAAATCCAGCAGTTACCTGAAGAGGAATGGGATACAACTGGAGCATTAATTGAAGAAATAAGTGGAATATCCGTTCAACGAAGTGGATGCACTGTTACCGGATCTATACTCCCTGATTCTTCCTCAAACCTCTCTGCGCTATATGTGGCTCTATTTGCAATTGATCTTCTATCTAAGAAAAGTTTTTAAGCCATTCTTGTAAATCAGAGTATTTTTGCAGATAGAAAAGAATCATGCACAAATGCAGCAGTCTAATATACTCAAAATGAAAGTTGTAATCTGATAGCCTTATTTGAAAGGAAGTTTGCCTGAGAATATCAATTTATATTAGATAATTACTTCTTGCATTCAATTTTCCATCACTGCTTTCACACAAAATTCTAAATCATTTGGAGTTTGGCATAGTAAATTGTTCAAACTTAGATTAGGGCCAGTCAGAAACCATTACCATGAGCCATTGTGGTGCAGTGGTCAGAGTGCAGTACTGCAGGCTATTTCTGCTGACTGCTGGCTGCTGCAATTTGGCAGTTCAAATCTCATCAGGCTCAAGTTTGACTCAGCCTTCCATCCTTCTGAGGTGGGTAAAGTGAGGACCCAGATTGTTGGGGGCAATAGGCTGACTCTCTAAACCAGTGGTCCCCAACCTTTTTTGTACCAGGGACGGGTTTCAAGCAGAAAATTTTTTCGGGGCCGGGGGGGGGGGGAGAGAGAGAAGAAAAGGAGGCTTCGCTCTCTCGCTGCTCCACCATCCAAGGAAGAAACTGCTTCAAAGAAGCGGGGGGGGGCCTTTTCCTGTCGCCGCAGCTATTCCGAAGCGCCCGTTTCACCCCCACTCCCACCCCGCCCGCCCACGCGCGCTTCAATCCACAGTGTCCCGTTCTGCCTGCCTGCCTGCCTGCCTTAGTTTCTGGTTGTTTGGGAGCAGCTTCGGCTGAGAATAATAACTATTCGCCTCTTTTACTCAGCCGAAGCTGTTCCGATTCAACCATTAACGAAGGCAGGCAGGCAGGCAGAACGGAGCACTGGGTTGAACCCCGCGGGCGGGCGGGCGGGCGGGCGGGCGGACGGGGTGGGGGTGGGGGAGAAACGGGTGCTTCGGCGACAGGAAAAGCCCCCCCCCCTTCTTTGAAGCAGTTTCTTCCTGGGCTGGTGGAGGAGCGAGAGAGCGACTGAGAGAGCTGACCCAGAGAGAAGGACAGGCTTCGGTTGCTTCCTCCCTCCCCTTCCTTCATTTGTGTCCTTGATCCCCGATCCCAGCAGCATTCACCGAAGGTGAAGAAAGCCGCCATTTTTTAAAAAAAAAATTTCTTTGCGGCCCGGTACAGAGTGCTCCACGGCCCGGTACCGGTCCGCGGCCCGGTGGTTGAGGACCCCTGCTCTAAACCACTTAGAGAGGGCTGTAGAGCACTGTAAAGCTGTATATAAGTCTGAGTGCTATTACTATTACAGTGATTAAAATAATCACTAAATATAAAGAGAAAAAGAAAAACTAAGAAAAACTAGATTTGCAGGTAGTCTTTGACATAAGACCATTCATTTAACAACCATTTGAAATTGGGAACTGCTGAAAAAAGTGAATTATGGTCAATCCTTGCACATACATTCAGACTGGATTTGTTTAATGCGCATGTGATTCATTTAATGATTGCAGCAAAATGATCATAAAATTGGGCAAAACATATTTAACAACTACATTGCTTAGCAAATAGACAGTTCCAGTTATGGTTGGAAGTGGTGGACTACTTGTATATGATTTCAATATAAAATTAATGTTCTTAAACATATTATTAAATCTAAACCATAAACACATTGTCCCATCTTCTCATTTTAGAACATAAGACATTTCAGAAACAGATAAAGAATCGCATTTTAAATCTAGTCCTTATTACATTGGTGTAATTAGTTGTACATTACTTCTATCACAATCTATCTTCCAGGCACCTTCTCCTCAATTCATGTTATTGGCAAATATAAAATAAACAGTAAAACAGCCGCTCCTTTAGCACGAACCACGTGACTATGGAAATAATTTCTCCCCATATATAAATAATCCGGTTTTCCTACTGTATTTATGTGTATTACTTCCTGGATGGGGGAGGAGATGGGAGCAGCAAGCAAGTAGGCTCTCTGCTTAACTAAGCTTAAATTAACCTATTCTAATTGTTACCTGCTTTTAAGGCTATTTTTCTATCATATCTTAGTCTTCAAATTTTTATTTTTAAACCCTTTACATTTTTGAAATTTTTGCAGTGTGATCACTAATCCAACTTTTAGTTATATTTCAGCTATGGTTTAGCTGTATTTTTTTTAAAAAGCCCGAGCTGGGCCTCAGCTATAGGAGGGCCTTGCTGCTGCTTCTTTGTTGTTGTTGTTCTAAAGATCTTACTCCTTTAGCTGGAAGTCTAGCAATGCCTAGCTTTGATGTGATTTCTCTTATCTGATTTATTCTATTTTTATCCACTATTTTTATTATTTTATCATTTTTATTTACTCATGTTCCCTGCTCTGTTGGGAGGGCAGGATCCTTGGTATACTTGTGAGGAGCTCTGCCATTGTTTGCATTAGGACTCGTTTCTTCTCGACTCCCGATTCCTTTTCCTCTGGATTTAGGACTTGTTTCAGGGACTAGACTCTATGCTATATTATACAGCTCCCCCTCTATTGTTCTACTTAATATAATGAAGACAAGGAAAAGGAGCAGATCTCTCACTGACCTGGTTCCTCAACCTTCTTTGAAGCAACCCAAGATGAGGACTTTGTTTTAGCTAGGCCTCTCGGTTTGAAAGCTCCTGCTCCCTTTTGTCTGGCTGCTGTTGGCGCCATCTTCTGACGGTTGAGGGCGTTGCCCCCCGAGAACAAAGGCTTATTTAAAAATTATGGCCCCCAACCAATACTTAAATGAGCCCACCCTTACAGAACTTTTGGCTCAGCAATGTTTCTTGGTTGCAAAAACTATAGCGAGCATTCAGCTCCAGCTTGATAAAATAATAAGTACTTTAAACTATTTAGTTTCCTGGACTACCAGTGGGAGTCCTGGGTTGACCGCTCAGCAGCCCGATGCGGCGGCAGGGTTCTCCCTGCCAAGCCTCAGCAAAAGCACTGGCCAATGTAATCCTACCAATAGTTCGAACTTTACATCTTTTGACGCAAACAGTCACCTGGTCTTACAATCAAAACAGATGGCCATCATTAATCCCATTAATGGCAACTTACCTCACTGGGGTTCAACACAGCTGGTGAGGGGCCATATATTACAGTTATTGGGGCTAAAAGCTGATGATTTGAAGAAGGTTGAACTTTTACCCTCTCCTGAATACTGCACTAGAGTGCTACTCAGTTTTGACAACTCCAACGCCCCAAAACTACTTTTCAGAAGAGGATCCCTGTTAAGATCCTTCGGCATTCTGCCAAGAAGAGTCTTCAAAGATATTTCGATTAAGCCACTCTTGAGTAATTGACAATTTGTGAGTGGCAGGAGATTTATTGCCCCCAAAAGATCCTCAGCAGCACATATTAATGTGCCAACCTTGAATGCCATCTCGGATACTACATCGCGTACTAATTATACACCTATTCCCGTAAAACCTCCAGTTGGCGTCCTCTCAGATGGTAGTCTAACTGTCCCTCCTACAACTGGTCAAATTAACCCACTGCAGCGAGTAACATCTTACCAGGAAGCTTCCCTTGATTTGATCAGCTGGGAAGAAATGGCCCCAAAGGAAGCGACACCAGGCCAGGGAACCCAAGGTTCTTTAGTAAATAAATAAGCCCCAGGTCAGTGCCTCTGGGATTCCATCTATTTATGAGATTGACTTATGTCAAGACAATTTCTGGAACCAGGAGGAGACACAGCTCTTCGACTCCTTTTGTGCGCTTCCACAATCAGAAAGGGCCCAAATCATAAAGCATCTGGATGCAGTCAAATCCAAGCTCTGGAGTCTTTCACTACCTGATAAGGATTCCCTTGGACTCCAGGGAGTCTATACTGATTTACCAACGGAAGTTCCCTTGGTGCTCTCTCCAGAATGTCTGATTCGTAAATTTGAAGATCCAGGGCTACTTCAAACTCCATCTGTTGATGCTGCTGAATACTTGCCAGCTAAGCAACCAATTAATGCCACAAGTACGAACAGGGGTGCGCTTAGAGCCCTACAGCCCCATGAACAAGGCTCTCTTCCACTCCATCCTTCCCTGCCTTTGCCTCCTAAGAGGATGACCCTTAACAACGGGTGTATCTTTTCGGATCCGAAAGGCGCTCTGGGAAAAATTAATCACACAGAATGACTATTAAATCTGGCAAACACCCCCCCCCCCTGCACACTTAAGTGCCTTTTGTAGAACATAGCAGGCTGGAGGAGAAGGTGTGGTACCACAGAATTTGCCAACTATATTCACTCATTTGATGTGGTCCTGCTTCAGGAGACCTAGGCATGCAATAAGATATCCCTTACAGGGTTTACGGTCATTTCCTTGGCCACTACCAGACAATCTATGACAGGAAGGCCTAAGGATGGTCTAGCTTACTTGGTCTTTACTTCTTTGAAAGTGGAGACAGTGGAGCTGCCCCCCTGTGGCTCTTTAGCTATGGCACTCCTAATTAAGAGAGGATGCAGCAAACTGTTAGTGTTCAACATTTATCTTCCCCCGACGATGAGGCAAGCTGATACTAAGGCTCAATGGGGTGTGCTGGAGAATTACATTACTTGTATGGAAACTAAATTCCCAGCGCTGTACATCCTTATAGGGGGCGACTTTAATGCCTGATTGGGAGTCCAAGTTCCCCCATCGATTGAGGCACTCTACTCCCAAGAAACCCTCCAGGCCATAGGACACCTGATTTCAGCCAGACATTCTAAGGATGAATTAACAAATTTTGCTGGCATTCAGTTAGCCCTTTTAGCAGCCCAACCCAATAAGATAATTCTTAATGGGAGTACCCTAGGTGATCTAGCTGGTGAGTTTACTTTTAGTTCCTCACGTGGGAGTAGTGTTATTGATTTTGTGCTGGTATCCCAGCTTCTTAGAAAGGCAGTCCATGCTTTCTATATGGACTGCCTTACAGAGAGCGACCACTACCCTCTGGTTACAATCATTGGGCTTTCCTCAAATATACATCTCCCTAGGGGTCCCCAGATATTAGATCCCTATGTGGCCTCGTATACAAGGAGGATCAAATGGTCTTCTAATACTGAAAGAAAGTTCCACTCCTTTTTATCATCTCTGGAGTGTCTCAGCCTATACAATCAGGCCCTAACAAGTAGTGGCCCAGGGACAATCTCGGCCTTTGAATCACTAATTAATAATGTTCAAAGGGAGCTAAGAGCCGTCCATAGGCCGAGAGGTCCATATCATTCAAGAAATAATTCTTGGTTTGACAAAGAGTGTCTGATGCTCAGGAACCAGATTAATCAGGTTTACCTGCTCTATCGTAATCGAGGGGATAAATACCCACCAGAGGACTACTATCGCTTGAAGCGGGAGTATAAAGGACTAATTGCTAAGAAAAAGAAAGCTAAAGAGAGAGAGAAGTGGGAGCTACTTCTCCTCTCCATTCAGCAGAAGAACACTCGATTATTTTGGC